TCCACCCCCTTGATTATTCCCAAATTTCTTCCACTTCTTTTGAGCAGAAGAAAAGGAAGAAGGCTTCTGTAACATGAATGTTTTGTCTTTTTACTATTGTTTGGGTTTCAGGGAAATCCAGAAAAGTATCACTATGTAGTACAGAGACCAAGAGATTAAGGGAAAGAATCTTTTCTTTGGGTCACATGTTGTGTTAGTCGGCTTTCTGTTACTTTATTGAAATGCCTGAGACAATCAGCTCATGAGGAGAAAAGGTTATTTGTTTGGACTCACAGTTTTGGCAGTTTTGGTCCATGATGATTGGCTCAGTTCTTTGGGCCTGTGCTGAGCAGCGCATCATGCTGGGAGCAAATGGTGGAGCAAAAGCACTCACTTCATCAGCCAGAAAGCAAAAGGGAAAGAGGAAAGAGACAAGGTATCCCACAATCCTCTTCAAGGGCACACTCTCAGTGGCTTAAGGACTTCTTGCTAGGTTCCACCTCTTAAAGGTTCCCCCCATCCCAATAGTACCACCCTGGGGACCAAGTTTCCATCACATGGACCCTCTGAGGGCATTCATGGTCCAAACCACAGCACGTGTTAAAGGAAAACTGGGTTAGCAAGGAGAAAAAAATTTTAGGCTGATATATTTGAAAACCCCTGAAGGCTTCAGTTTCAAATTGAATAACTGAAGTTATATATGGATACAAGTAAAATAACTCTTTTTCAATTCATCTAAGGCCCTGCCTTCCTAATGAGGTGATCAGGAAAATAGATAGACTTGTCTTGCTGACTCAGAAATACTCAGCCAGATCAAATGGAACCCTGTCAGCTCTCCTTCCTGACATGTCCCGGTTAGAACCAGGATGTGAACCTTTCCCATCTCTCACTAGCTATTTTGGGGTATTTTTTTTTTCTGAAGGCAGACATAATTGTTAAATTTGCAGATGTTATATTTAGTTCTTCACGTCTTAGAGTTGTGTCTTTATTTGCAGGAGACAAGTTTAATTTAAGAATATACACCTTTTCTTTGAAAGGACCATATTGGCCTGCTTATAATGTTTCTGTTTTTGGAGAAAATGTTTCTCTTAAATATTTTGTAGTTAATGGTCCCAGCATATAACCCAGAGTACATGCCTCCATCCTAGGTCTGATAAAATGAACTATACCATGCTTAGAAGAAATTGAAATGCCAGGATCCATTTCAGGTCCTAGGTGGGAATGGGGGTTTGTGAGTGTTATGTTTGGAGCTAGAATGTCCCACAAAGGCTCATGTGTGGAAGTCTTGGTTCCCAGCTGGTGGCATAATTGGGAGGTGGAGATACCTTTAAGAGGTGGAGTCTGGTGGGAGGAAGTTAGATCACCGGGGGGGCATGTCCTTGAAGGGGATATTGCGATCCCAGCCCCTTTCCCTTTTTCTTTTTCTTCCTGGTCACCATGAGGTGAGTAGCTTTCCTTTGCCATGGGTTTTAACCATGATGTGTTGCCTCACCATAAGCCTAAAAGCAGCCAGGCCAAGCCACCATAGACTAGAACCTCTGAAACCATGAGATGAAATTAACCTTTGCTTCTTATAAGATGATCATCTCAGGCACTTTGTCACAGTGATGGAAAGCTGGCTAATACAATGATTGTGAGCTGGGCTTTGCACAATGATGTAGGAGGAAAGGAGAGATCAATCAGGAAATGGGGCTTTAGCTCCACAGATGAGTGTCCATTCCAACATAATAATAATTACTTTTTTGGTTTTCTTTTTGGCAGTACTGAGGTATGAACTCAGGGCTTCATGCTCCAGGTGAGCCACAGTCACACCCTTGGTTTATTTATTTATTTATTTTTGAAACAGGGTCTTGCTGTGTAACCCATGGTGGCGTGGAGCTGGTGATTCTTTCTCAGCCTTCTGAGTGCTGGGATTACAGATATTCACCACTGTGCATAGTAATAATACTTGCTTTTGTTGGATGATATGCAAAACATGGTTCTAAGTGCTTTACATGTGCAATGGTTTGGTTTAAAAAAGTCCCCCAACAGCTTTTGTTAAAGGTTTGGTCCCTAGGATGGTGCTAGTGGGAGGCTGAGAAACCTTTAAGAAGTGGGGCCTAGTGGGAGGTGTGCCCTTGAAGAGGACATTGGGACCTGCTCCCTCCCTGTCTCTCTTTTCCTTCCCAGCTGCCAGGAGGTGAGCAGCCTCCTCCACCATGTGCTGCTGCCATGATGTACTGGATCACCACAGGATTAAGACATCAGGGTCAAGTGACCATGGGATGAACCTCTGAAACTGGTAGCCAAAATAAGCCTTTTCCTTCATGAAACTGATTATCTCAGGGACTTTGCTCACAGTGAGGGAAAGGTGACTACCCATGTATCCTCTCATTTAATAGGTGTGATTACAGTTGGCATTTACAGATGAGAAAGCTGAGGCTTAGAAAATGCACATTACTTGCCCACTGAGCAGCTGAGAATCATAACTCAAAAACTGGCCTAATTTTAAACATGCTCTCAACTGCTAACATCTTTTCTCTTTGTCTCCCTTTTACCCCTTTTTGACTCTCCCAGTTAAACTTAGAGATATATGTGGAGCCAGTAGAAGCATGTGACTTTGGCTAAGCCAATCAGGACAGGGACAATGTGATTGGTCAGGAGTTGTCATGTGACTGCAGTGGGTCCAATCTCAACAAACTGCAGAGTTTCAGGATAAATGTGGGTGTGAGATCTCCAATTGCTGAAAGGATTTGCTACTATACATAAGTCTGCCAAGGGTAAAGACAACATTCAAGGAGGGCTGGTGGGGGGGAAGAAATACAGAGAAATGGAAGTAAGGGTTTGACAACACACAAACATCCACAGCAAACTCTGGCTGACAGCTGAACCCTCAGGGCTCAGCAGTCACAAGAATCAACCAAGTCTCCATAGGTTAAGCCACAAAGAGGTGCATTCTGTTACAGCCAGAGCCATCTAAGTGAGGCAGTCACCCTGTCCCAGAGGGCTCTTCAGCATTCTGCCTGGACCCTTCCCTAACAAAGTTTTCCTGGGGCATGGAATTTCCTTCAGATAGATTTTGAAAAATGCTCTGTACAGAGGGATTAGAGTTCCTGGAGCATATAAAGAAGGGCTAATAAGCACAAAGGACCAGAGCTGGCTAATGTCCACGGAGTGTACTGGTTCTGGGGGCAGAGTATAATCCTGAAACAAACTGCTTTTCTTTTTTCCTCAGGCGTCTATTGTGACACATCTTTAGTGTTTTTGATGATGATTTTTGAAACAGAGAAGTAAATTTAGGTTATTTGATACATGATCTGGGTCTCATCCTCCTCTTCCTCCAGATGGCTTGACTTGTGGTGCCAGCTCACCTTAATGCCTCCTGCCTCCTGAGCTGCCAGTGCACCCTGGGTCTCAGTTACCAGGTTCCACCAGAGGGTTAAATACTGAAAATAACTCCAGCTGTTTCTCCTACCAGCGCCAATGGTATTTTAAGAGGGGCTCCTAAACACTGAAAATGTTCTCAGCTTTCAGGAATGAAATTCATGGTGAAAGTTAAGGCTTATGACAGGACATTCAGAAAAGACATATTTGGGTACAGAGAAACATTTTCTTTTTCTCTTAAGTCACGTCCTTAGTGAAACGCTGAGTACTGGGGCATTCACTCTGGCTGGACAAGGTTCAGCTCCATACATGGAAGTCCTTTCTTAACTAAACCTACAGTATCTGAATCTCTACATGCCCCCCCCCCCCATTTATCGCTTCCTTCCCCCTCCTCTTTTCACACACACAAACACAAGCACACACAGACACACTGTTAAATTTGAGAACAAGGGCAAAGGGAAGGGAACAGCTGGGTTTGCTGGTATCTTGGAAGGCTGTGATGCCTTGCTTGGAGCTGTGGGCCTGAGGGCCTGTACTAGTTGCAGGAGTGTGTACCGCAAAGGGAGGGGAACACATCTCCAGCTAGAGGGAATGTGGAAGGGTCAGAAATTGCTTGCTGTTTCTGTGCTAATAGGGTCAACCCCCTGTTTGTGATCCAGTGTTTGCTCCTGAGCCTGGCACACAGCCATGAACAGCTTTTCTCCTAAGCACTATTGGCCTAGATCTGGACACTGCTATCATTTTGTCTCTGCATAACCCAGAAAACCTCAGATACTAGTTTTAAAGTTAGGGCTTACCAGGCAGAACTAACCCTGACTGTAGCCCTAACCCTAGCCTTACTGTAGCTCCTTGGCAGGAGCAAGAGGGCCAAACATTGGACTAGGGGCACTGGAAGGAGAGGGTGAGAGGAGCCCAGGGTGAAGAAGGGGCTGCAGGGGCCTCTGTGTCATCTGCACACCTAGGAGTTGAGAAGACGGGGCTTCTGAGTTGGCTCTGGCTACGGAAAGGGCAACTTGCTCATTCACTGAGCACTGAAGGAGGGAGTCCCCCATGTGAATGAAGGTGTCCACTACTGCATGTGTGGCTTCTTAGTATGTCAGGGCCCCGCTGGCTCTGTGGAGGCAGGAACAGTGTCTGTTTTGCTCCCTGATGCATTTGAAGAGCACAGTGCCCAGTATGTAAAGGGTTCAGCACCTAATCCCTTGAATGAGTGAATGAAGGCAGAAATATAAGAATTAGTGCCATAAAATCATGCTTTGGGGGATGCTATAGTTTGGATCTTCAATGTTCCCCAAGACGCCTGTGTTAAAGCTTGGTTCCCCAGGGTAGTGCTGTTGGAAATTGATGGAGCCTTTATGAGGCTGGACTTAGGGAAAGGTTTTTAGGTAATCGGGGTGTGCCATTGAAGAAGGCTGTGGGACCTTCTCCCCCTTCCCCCACACCCTGGTTTATGAGGTGAGTGGTTTTGTTCCCCTACATACCCACTGCCATGTGCTACCTAACACAAGTTAAAGCATCAAAGCCAACTGGTCATGGACAGGAACTTCCAAAACTGAAAGTCAAAATAACCCTTTCTCTTTATAGGTTGATTATGATAGGTATTTGTTACAGGGCTGGAAAGCTGACTAATACAGGATGAAGGTAAAATGATTGTTTGGACAAGTGAGATGATGAGGTCTGTCTTGCTGAGGTTTTATCAGCTTCTTAGCCTTCACAGTCCAAGGGCCTGGGCTCTGCTCAGGAGAAGTAATGACACGTTGTCCCAGCACTGTCACTTTAGATAGGATATCACCCTCTTAAATGTCTTAGAACTGCTTCTGCTGTACCAGCTCTGACACCCATGCCTGGAGGAAATGATTCTGACTACACCATTGAAAAGCCATGATGAACAACTGTGGGCCAGCTTTCTTTATTCCAGGTAACTGTGAGGAAATACTCCTGAGCTGCTGAGAAGGAGGCGAGTCAATATGAGTGACTACTTAGAGAAGGAACAGCCCTCCACACTGCTTAGTGACTACCTAGAGCGTCCCGAGAAGTGATCATTTCAGGGTGTTGTTACATCCATGGAGTCTGGGGGCATCTGACTCAAGCTGACATTGGCAGCTGCATTCTTGGAGGAAGGTTTTCACAGAGCCTCTCTCTATCACCTCTGGCTCTTCTCACAGAGTCTGGAGGCCTTGGACACTGAACACGGTGTACTTTGTGCTGGAGACCATGGTCAGGAGCAGATGACAGTAGCATTGGCACATGCCACCATGGAACGGTTTTCATCATACAGTTCCAGTAAAACATGGTATTTTCCCTGCAAGGGACACATGTAAAGTATTAGTCATGTGACTTGTAGGCATTTAACAAATACAGTCAGCCCTCCATATCCAAGGGTTCATCATCTGTGGATTCAACCAATTGGTGATTGAAATATTTGAAAAATAATTGCATCTGTACTGAACATATACAAATGCTTTTCTGTCATTATTACCTAAACTATATACCTAATACAATCATCTAAAAATGATTTAAATTATATGGTTGGATATGTGTAGATCATGTATAAAAATGCTAATTTATATGACAGACTGCAGTATAAGTGGATTTTGGTATTTGATGAGGTCCTGGAACCAATTCCTCAGTATCTCTGAGGGCTGATGACATTTACTGAGCACCTTCTACATGCTGGATGTGGTTCCAGACCCAGGGGATGAAGTAGAACAAGACAAACCCAACTCCTCACCCTGTGAAACTTATAGTCTCATTGAGAGACGTGACCAAGACCCCGTGACAAGGAGCTGTAGAGCATGTCGGATGCTGGTTATGGAGATGGATGGGATAGCTGGGAGGGGCAGGACTAATGCTGGCTTGCAATTTTAAGTAGGGTGTCAAGAGAGATTTGCCTGAGAAGATGACCTTTAGGCAAAGACCTGAAGGACACACAGGAGGGTGCCATGCTGCTATGGGGCTGATGTCCCCCTGTTTGAGGAACAGTCAAACAGTCAGGGGGTCCAGGGGGCTGCAGGGAGAGGACGGAGGCTGGGAGTCACAGGAGGCCAAAGCTTTGGGGATTCACAGATATAGTGAGGATGTTAGCTTCCAGTCTGAAAGGAACTCGGGTGTGACAGTTTTCCCAGATGGGTGATCTATCTGATGTATGTGATAATAGGATCACTCTGCCATAGAGGAGAGGGTGAAGCTGTAAGCCTAGGCAGAAGACCATTGCAGTCATCCAGGTGAGAGATAGGGACGACTTGGTGGAAAGGGGAAAAGGGCAGGACTTGTCTGGATGGATTTTGAAAGATGGGCTGATACTACTGATTTTCTGAGGAAACCCAAATGGGTAAGAGGGAAAGAGATGGGTTAAAGGTGACCCCAAGGCTTCTGGCCTGAGCAACTGGGAGGATAAAAGACCACCAGCAGGAACAAAATTCAGAAACATAGACTCAAAATTCTCTACCAGGTCCTTTCTAACAACTGCTGTCCAGAGAGGGTGGGTTGGCAGGTAACCGCTTAAAAGAAGCCATGCCAGCCATGCTGAATGAAGAATTGCAGGAAGATTCAGTGGTGATCCACTTCTGTCTTATTCTCTGCTGATGTCCCACTCATCACCCCATAGCACAGGGTGGTAGTGTGACTCTTGACTCACCCATCTGGAAAAGAAAAGGCTTGGGGTGGTGAGAGGTTATGTCAAGCAGAGCAGAGGAACCAAGAGAGAAGGATGCATAAACAATGCCTGGTACATCTTTGAACTGCCTGTCACCCACTGGGTAGAGAAGCAGTTTTCATCAGAGGAAAGCAACTTGCCAGCAACTAGCAAAGGCACAGAAGGGAGTAGATTCCCCAGCACTGGAAATTCATTTGAGGCAACCAGGCTGTGCTCTGGATGGTGCCATGGTGTGAGGACGGATCAGAGCAAACTTAGGTATCATTCAACTTGAGGATTCTGGGTTTTTAGTGATCACAGAGCAAGTAGCTGTAACTTAGAAGCAATGTAAAAGTTAGAGTGAGGTGATTCTGAGTGAAGGCCAGCTCAGATTTATATCTGATTGTGTATCATCATCATTGTCATTGCCACCACCACTACCATTACCACTTTTCTTTTGTATTTTTGAAACAGGGTTTTGTTATGTATCCTAAGATGGCCTTGAAATTGTGATCCTCCTGCCTCAGCCTCCTGAGTGTTGAGATTACAGACAGGTACCACCACATCAGCCCATCATCTACTTATTTTTTTTAAAACTCTCTATGCTTATATAAATGTATACCCTAAAAAACCATTGAACACCAAATGAGTTTTTCGTTATTGCTTTATGAACCTAAGAGAAAATGTAGTATTTGAAGGAAGGGGGTTCTAGATTGTGAATTAGAAGATAGGAGTATTCTGGCATAAGAGGTAAGAGTACTTCAGGAACTGTGCCAGTCTGGTGGCAGCTGGCGGGAGGCACTGGGACATGAGGCCGGGGTAGTGATGGACTTTCTGCTTTGAGGAGGGCACTAGATCTGTGGGTTAGAAACATGTAGCTGCAACCGGAGCAATATTCAGATTAGGTGATAACTACAAGTTGTTGTCAGTAGGCTTTGGAGGCCAAAAGATCTCTTCAAATTCAGAAAACAGAAGGTAGCATAGACAGGCATGGGATCACTGGCAGGACTTCAGTTTGAGACAAGAGATTAGGTGTGTCAAAAAGAAACTAAGCTAGTGAGAATTTTGAATGTTCTTAACAAAAAGAAATGATAAGTGTTTGAGGCTATAGATATGCCAGTTATCCTGTGTACGTGACATTACACATAGTCTACATGAATTTAAATATTACACTGTACCCCATAAATATGAATAATTATTGTAAATTAAAAATAATGTATGTTTTCCCTATAAAAGGAAAATCAGACCACGGCACTGAAGATTGAGTGCTGAGTAGAAAAGGTTTTGGCCAAGGTAGGGCCACAGCCCACTTCTGGGGGTTTGGTTGGAGGAGGGGTTGGGAACAGGTCTTTTAAACCCAAAAGGCTTCCCACTGTCTCTGTCTTGCTTTAGGTAACAGTGTTTCTAAGTGTTGCAATGTCTGTGGGCCAGGGAAACCTGAGTGGGCTATGGCTGTTGTGGCTAGTGTGCAGAGCCCAGATTGGGAATCAGGCTCCAGCTGCTACATTGCATACAAACATATGGGATGTGCCTCAGTTGCTTATGTAGCTATTGGGTCTGCCCAGGTGTCGGCAGGCTGGGGGGTGGGCCAGGAGCTTGCCAGGAGTCTCCCAGGCACAAGCCTCATGGGGGAGGAGAGCGGAGGACCTGGCCCAGGGTCAGGGGACCTGACCACAGCTTTGGTTCATTTTGATTTGTGTGTCCTTGAGCAGTTACTGGTTGAAGAACTAAGGTACTACACTTTCCCAAGCACTGTCAGAAGCTGCAGTGCAATGGTCCCTGACTCAATGGTTCAACTTAACATGGTGCACAAATAAGAAGCATTTAGTAGGAACTCTATTGTCACTTTCGAGTTTTCATCTTTTCCCAGGCCAGCGGAATATAGTATGATCCTCTCTTGATGCTGGACAGTGACAGTGAGCCATGGCTTCCAGTCAATGACATGGTCACAAAAGGAAACAACCAACCCTCTGCAGTGTGCTGTTGTGAATCTAGAATATTTTGTAGGTTAGGTGTGCTACATGTATTTTCAACTTAATGATATTTTCAACATGTGATGGGTTTATCAAGCTGTAAGTCTGTGGTAAATCAAGGAGTATCTGTACAGCTTTTTATATCTCCGGTGAACTTCCTCTCAAAGGGGTACTGTGGCTTTATAAAGTGCTTTTCTGTTTCATAGTAACTGCCAAGGGTAACTGATATTAAAAAGTCAATAATGCAAAATGAAACTCAGTTGTTAGCAATTTTTACATCACTCTAGTGGGGTATCAGAAGAAAAGTGAGCAAATAAAAAGAGTTCAGATAGCAAAGATTTAAAGAAGAAAAGCTATCTGGGAAAATTTAGGCTCCATATCTGAGAAGTGAAGAGAGATTGAGTTTTCCTTTCTTAAAAAACTTACATATTATACTGAAAGGTTTGAGGAGAAAACTCTAGAGAATTCCAGAGGGGGAAGGCTGGAAACTCCAGTGTGAGAACCAAACTAGTTGAAATCCAAGATGGTCTGTTGAGATGACACTGTGACTCAGAAACCCAGAGGTGGGGACAAGAAGGAAACCCAGAAATGAGACTAAGTGGACGATCTTTATGGTGAAGGAGACTCTGAATTTCCTTCAGGTGGTGAATGACTGAAAAGATGAAGTTGAAAACAAATAAATAAATAATTGAATTTCACATCCTTTTTATGTTGCTGTATAAGACTCTTTCAGGAGTAGCATATTTATTTCATATATTTATCTCTATGTCAGAGTGACTTGAATTCAGGCATTTCAAAAATCACATTATTCTGAGTAAAAGAAATTTCTGGAAAATCCAAGTCTTAGCTGTGGGTCTTGCCAGTGAATGATCAGGAGTTGAACTTTTTATTTACTTGATAACCTGCTGGTTGAATGTTTTCACCAAAAATTTTGTTGAAAGTTACTCCTCGTTGTGATGTATTAGGAGGTGGGACTAAGTGGCACCTTTCAGAGGGCTCTGCTGTTTTGAGTGCATTAATTAATTCAGGACTAGTGGATTAATGGGTTCATGGCTTATCTTACGAGTGGCATCTGTTATAAAAGCCACTTTGGCTCTGTCTTTTACAGGAGCCCCTCTTGTCCTGTGATGCCCTGGGCTGCCTCTGAACTCTACACTCCCCACCAGAAAAAAAGAACCTCATCAGGTGTGGTCCCTTGATGTTGGACTTCCCCCAGACTTTAGAATGTGGCCTGAATAAACCTTTATTCTTTGCAAATTATCCAGTCTTTGTTATTCAGTGACAGCAACAAAAATGGACTAAGGCACAGCCTGGCAGTAAGAGTGAAAGGATGGTAGTTAGGGAGACATTGAAGCTTTCATACTTTGTGTCTATTCCTTCCTCTACACTGCCAACCTCCCTGAGTGCAGCTCACACCTCGCATGGCTGCCTCCTACACACTCCAAGCAGCTCTAGCCATATGGAGTTCCAAAGACATCAACAACCTTGTGGACAAGACATGGCATCCTGATTCTTGTGGAGTTTGTACCCAGAGAAACCCCAAAAGTTCAAAGGCATATCAAATGCTATATACCAAGAGGACAAAGCCAGTGTATTAAGCACTTATAAATGCCCACTATAAAGTAATGGTTTCATTGGGAAGGGATTTTTTTTTTTTAGCCATGCTGGGGATTGATCTCAAGCTTTCAAGCTTTGCTAGGCAGGGTCTCTACCATTTAGTCACACCCAGTCCTCTTGCTTTTAGCTTGTTTTTCAGACAGAGTATCATGTTTTTGCCTGTGTGGTCTCAGATAGCATTCCACCTACTGCTGCCTCCAAGTAGTTGGGACCACAGGTGGCATGCAACACCTTGCCCTGCTCAAGAAAGGATTTCCTCCCTCCCTCTTTCCTGCCCCTCCCTCCTCCCTTCTTTCCTTCCTTCCTTCTTAAAATTTATACAGGGTCTTGCTACATATCCCAGGATGGCCGCCAACTCAAGATCCTTTTGCTTTAACCTCTCAAGTGCTGGGATTACAGGTCTAATGAGAAAGACTCATCTTTCTTCTCCTCCTTCTTTGGTGGTGCTAGGCTTTGAACTCAGGGCCTTGTGCTTGCTAGGCAAACACTCTACCACCTGAACCACTCTGCCAGCCCTGAGAAAGGGTGTTCTTAATGATGGCCTACAGAAATGTTTTAAACTGTGTAATTCCCTACTTTCTTCTACTTTTCCATCTCTTCCCTACTCCTCCTTAGATTTTTCTACTCTTTCAAGAAATAAACTGTTCAATACAACAATTAAGTAACAACACAAGACAGAAAACCAAAACCTTACCACAGGAATATCAAGTCCAGGATTATTGATAGGGCCAGCAAAGTAAATCTGCTCTGAAAAATATATAAAGCAGATAATGATATTCAGTTATTTAAAACAAATGACTTGTGAGCATTAAAAAAGTGTCAGTCAATGGCCATTGATACAAGTGTTTGAATTTCTTGATTACAACAGCCTCTTCATTCATTTATTTGTTCACATGACAAACATTTGTTGGTCACCTACCATGTGGCATTGGGGATCCAGTGATGGAAAAATATCACTGGATATTTTTAAGCACACATTGCTTATATGTTAATGAGGAGACTTGACAACACTGAAATAACTGAACAAGACAATATCTAGATTGTTGAAGATGCTGAAAGGAAACAGCATGGAATGGTGGTGAAGAGGTCAGACTGGAGCTGGACTGCACAGGGTTAAATTCTGAGATGACTTCCTACTACTAATAACCCTGGGACAATCATATTATCTTTGTACTCAGTTTCCTTGTTTTTAAGATGAGCATTAGAATGCAAAAGTAGTATCCTCTTCATAGGGTTGTGAGGAATTAAAAGAGTTAATAAATGTAAAGTATGAATAACACACCTGGAAAGTCCTAGGAACTGGGAGACACTGTGTTTGACAGTATGGCTGGTCAGGGAAGGCATCTCTTTTGAAATGACATTTGAGTTAAGCCCTGACCAGGGGTGTGCCTCAGTGGTAAAGCGCTTGTCTAGGATGTGCAAGAAAAAGGAAAATGGAAGGAATGAAGAAGAAGAAAAGAAAGAAGGAAGGAAGGAATGAAAGAAAGAGGAAGGAAGGAAGAAGAAAAAAAGAAAGAAAGAAAGAAGAAACCAAGAGCTAAGTCTGAAAGAAGGAGAATGAATGATCTACTTAGACAGCTGAGGAAGAGAATTTTAGGGCAATAGAATGAGGACAAAGATCCTAATATGGAAGAGTTGGGGAAGTGGAAGGACAGAAGAGAGAAGGGTTTACTAAAGCACAGTGAGCAAAAGAGAGCATGTTGGAAGAGCTTAGAAAGAATAAGGGGGGCAAATATTTCAGGACCTTGAGGGCAGGGTAGGAGTTTGGATTAAATTCCAAAGGCAATGGAAAAAGTGTTAAAACCTCAAGTGAAAATTCTTAATTTGTGTTTTCCAGAGACATCCTGTTGTGGAGAATGGAGGGGAGAGATAGATAGGGGAAGGGAGAAGGCCCTTAGTGGCCTGGGGGAGAAAAGGACTGGTGAAGGTGGAGGTGGAAAAACACTGCTGAGATCAGGGATGCCTCAGGAGGCAGGACTCACTGATGAGTTGTGTGTGGAGAGTGAGGGCCAGGAAGAGCTGTGGCTTGAGCATTTAGGTAACTTACTGAGATGGGGGAACCTGGACAGGAAAAATGTGTGTGTGTGTGTGTGTGTGTGTGTGTGTGTGTGTGTGAAGAGCTTTATTTCTGGGAAATGATTAATAAAAGGGCTTTGAAAACAGATGGATATGCAATTCTGGAATTTTGGGGAGGAGTTAGGGATGGAGCTAGGAACACTGGAGTCATTAACATGCAGCTGGAGATAAAGCCAGGGGACAGGATGAGACCCTCTAGGGAGACAGACTCAGTAGACAGTGAAGGGGTTGGGAGCAGGGAAGTGAGTCAGCCAAGGAGCCTAAGGGACAGCCTGTAGTGTGGAGGGCAATCAATGTGGGGTCAAAGAAGCCAGGAGATAGGTGTTTTTGAATAGGAGAGTAGGTCAACTGCGTTGAATGTCACCACTGAGAGTCTGAGTAAGATGAGGACAGAGATGTACAGTGGGTTTAGGTAACATGGTGACTCTTCGTGACCTTGGCCAAAACATTGGAGAGGTGAGGCTGAATGCCTGGGATGAAGAATGATATGGAGGGGAGGAAGTTGGCAGAGTTTTGCTGTAGAGGAAAGCAGAAAACATGAAAGCTAACTGGAGGAGGGTATGGGATTAAGAGTGGTTTGTTTCTTTATTCAAGGTGGAAGATGCTGCACCATACTTGTCATGCAAAAGGAAAGACCTTGTAGAAAGAACTGAAGAGAAAAATTGAACATGCAGAAGACAGAGAATAAATGCAGGTGTGAAAGTTTTAAGAAGGTGGGAAGGGGGCTGGGGATGTAGCCAGTGGCACAGCTTCTTGCCTAGCATGCAGAATGCCCTGGGTTCAATTCCTAACATAACAGGGGGGAGGGGAGTAGAAAGGAGGGATTTGCCTTTGAGAGAAGTGCAAAAATGACTCCTGTGGTTGTTAGAAGAAAAACAGCAGAATGGGGTCCAGGTATAGGGAAGTGTGCAGATTAACTGCTAGACCAATGACAGAGCTCCTGTCTGACTACTTTGATTTTCTCCATGAAGTCATGGGCAGACAGGTAGGGGAATATGGAGGGTGTGTGGTGTATTGCAGAGTAAAAGAAGGTATTTAAATACGTATCATGAACAGTGGGGAAAGTTATTGCCTAGGATTGCTAGGCAGTGTTAAGTGGGTTTAAAAAAGTTTTTTTGAGGTTTGTGGTTGTGAACTCAAATATACTCCAGTCACCCAACAGGTACATTTTCTCAGGAACATTAAATAGCTCTGATGTTGTCAAGGGTTGGGTTGTAGTTTTGCTGGACATGAAAGATGGAGAAAGGCAGGGCTACTGAGGACAGATGCAAGGGGAAGATTAACAGACCTCAGCATCTAAGGAGGGCAAGAAGGAAATGAAGGCAAGAGGAGGCAATGAGGTAAAAACAATGGTGGAGTCAGTTTAAAGGGTTCATTATTGCAGTTGAGGTCCTGGTGAACTGGAAGGATAAAGCTGGAGGTCAGAGTATTGACACCGATATTTCAGAAGTGGTGCAACCGCCGGGATTGACAGGAGAGATGATGGTTGGGGTGGTCGTGGTGAAAGTGATTATTGAAGGTAAGGAAGTGAACAGTTGAAGTGTTGCAGTGGGCGGGTCATTCATGACAATACTGAAGACAGCAAGAGGGAGGAACCTCACCTAGCATCTCAGGTTCCTGTCTCCTCTGACTCCCCAGCATCATGAGCTTAGCATGTTAGGACCACCAGTGGCTAAGAGCACAGCCAATGGGGAGGTCAGATCATTTGGGGTGAATGGTAACCTTTGAGCCTACTACCTGAGCAAGTTACCTAGTCTTTCTGTGCCTCAATTTCCTCATCAGCAAATGGAGGGACAGTAATGTCCACCTCACACAGTCATTGTACATCAGGTGAGTTAATACATGTAGAACTCTTATACCAGCTCCTGACTCATGGTAAGTACTCAGTAAATGTTTGCTATTAACAAATTCATTCACCAGTCCACGCTACTGAGCATTCATCCAATGTAAGTCAGGTGCTGTGCTGGAGGCTGCATACAGCTGTGCGCATGAAAATCACTGGCCAGCCAGGATTGCAACTGTTTACTTCTAGGACTGTTTGCTTCACTAGCATGGGATTCTGTCTTCTTGTTGGCCCACCTCCCACTACATTGCAGTGTCTGGCACATGGCAAGTGCAATATGTGGTTTTTGAATGAGGCTGTTGAATGAGTAGAGCCAGAGTTAGGGCATGGATTTGCAACCACTTTCTTTCTGTGCCCTCTATTTAACCCTTTGCCTGCTAGAAGGGTCAGCTGGCACATGAGACTAGATTAGGAAATAAGCCATTCCGAGGAGTGAAATCTGGTGATGAGGTTAGAAGGTAGGTGGAATAAAAGGTAAGTAAATGAATGCTTTTTGGGTTATTGATGGTGTTAGGTCCCAAGTTCTTTTGATGACACAGTGATTTCCTGCCCTGTATAGCACCTGGCTTTTCACAGCTACTTAGCAGGTATTTGCAAATGGGCCAAACTGTCCTCATTCAAAGGGGCTTTGGACAAGCCCCTTTGAATGAAGGGCATGAGAATAATTTTCCCTTTAAAAATGCTTCTACTAGGCAATTGGAGACTTGAACTTCTGAAAGGAAACTCATTCTTAGGATAGATTTTGGCTTCTGCTAAATTGCCATGGCTCCAACCTCCATATCATTTCTTCCCTTGGCCAATTCCTGGTTCTGTGCAGCTGGGTACCAGAGTTACTATTTCATTGTTTCAATCCATTTAAGTTTGAAAGGAAACATCTACAGCCACACATCACTTAACAATAGAGACACATTCTAATAAATGTATCTCTTGCTGATTTCATAACTGTGCAAATATCATGCAGTGCACATACACAAACTAAGATGGCTATGACGTCACCAGGTGGCATAATCTTATGGGACCATCATATGTGTGAGCCTTCATTTACTGAAACACTGTTATGTGACATGTAATTATATGTGGCTCTGAATAAGCAAGCATTTTATTGGAAACAATTGCTTTGGATGATGTGGGATCAGAAGCAGAGATGTCAGAGTTCCAGAGCCTATCATAAAAACTGCCTAGTGCAGCTGGGGAAGATGCTATAAGTAGCTACATAACACATTGAGTGCGAGGAGTGAGCTGGGTGTGAGGACACTCTAAGTGCCAAGGGCTTGGAGGGGTAAACCCTTCTCGGTATCTGCAGTGCAGTGGTATAGGACTTCTTTTTTTTAGGAAATCGTCTTTTCCCCAGTGGATACATTCTGAACAAGGACCATTAGAACAGAGGGAGAAAGAGACCTCTGCCCAGTCTGTTCTGATAAGAGGTCATTTCCTTTCAACCCACCAGTCTCTATAGCTGCCTATTTTCTGCTTCGTATTCCAGCTTTCTTAGAGCTTCCATGACTCCTAGATAAGCTTTCAAGAAATCCCCCTTGCTTTTTTGAATGGAATGGGTTTCTGTGGTCCACGATCCAAGGGTGTGACTGCCATGCGTGTGAACCAGTCAAGATCACTCCTCCTGGCCACAGGAGTAGGGACACAAAGTGGGTACAGAGCAGAGTTGGAGAACAAGGATTAGATCTGCCAGTCCCTGTCTGGTCTGGTATGGCTGGATCCCCTTGGGCATATTTCAAGCTCACTTTATGCTCCTATACAGTCCTCTTTGGTGGCACAGTAAGAAGGACTTGACCCTGGAGGCATACAGGCAGATTCAAGACCCTGCTGTCCT